GCGTTCCAGATGATATTCTGACGCCTTGCTGTCGGTCCTTCGACAGTGCATTTTTCCATGTGTAAGCCGTCTCTCTCTCCCTCGCCCCCCCTCTCTCTCTTCGTCCCCTTCCTGGTTCTTCCCCCATTTTCCACTCCGGCATCCCGTGCTTCCTCTTCAGCAGAGGGCCCGGTGGATTCGGATTGAAGCCTCCAACCTAGAGTTCGGCAGAACAATCGCGGGCAGGAAGGCTGGTATTCAGGCTAGAATTCCAGATCTGAAGCTGTTCGCTGGCGTTCTTGGCTGGAACTCCCTCCGGTACTCCTCTGGCAGCGTAGTTTGTATCTAGTCGTTCCCTTCTCCCATCTCCCCGTCCCTCTCTTCGCGTACCTCCTCCATCCCTTTCCCCTCTCCTGACTTAAATGAAGCCTGGTTTCACCATAATCTTGAGTACATCTTACTTCAGGAAAGTTCATGCTGCGGGTTCGAGCTCGACGTTGGAAGCCCAATGGAGGAGGTGGTGGAGGCGCGTGGTCTCTCGCTTCCACCCGCCCACCGCCGCTCGAGGGAGTTGTGGTGGGTGGTTCTGTCTGGCGAGGGCTGATCTTGAAGCAGTCCGAATTTGACCGAAACACTCTCCTCTGACCGTCCGCCCCTGCTTGCAGCACTCCGAACGCCGGCCGCTTGGCGCGTTGTCGAAAGCGGCGACGCGGCCAGAAAGACGGCCTCAGGATGTGCATTCAGGACGGCAGTTTGGAGTTGCCCGTGTCCCCAAGATCAAATATTTGGGTCAAACGGGGTTTGCTGTCGCTCGGCGGTGGTGACCATTCATCTGTGACCAAGCTCGATTTGCGCTGCACCGTACAAAAAACAAAAAAAACAATAAAGCCCGATATGCGCTGCAAGCGCGAACTCGTATTATATGCGGGATCCGATTCGCCGTGGTGCTATGAGGATTGTCACGGCCGCTGTTTGACGCTTCAACAAATAGGACTCCATTGGGCTCCATTGGTCTCCATACGACTCCATCGGCCTTTGCTGGACCGCATTGGTCTCTATAGGATTCCATTCGATTCCACCAGACATCTGTGGAACACCGGGACGACTGCTTTGGGCTCCATTGGGGTATACAGACGACCCCACTGGACGTCCAGGATTCCACTGGTGTCCATATGACTCCGTTGGGCTCCATTGGACTCTTCATAGGACTCCCTGGACTCCATACGAGTTCATTGGACTCCGTTGGCCTCCAATGGATTCCACTGTGCTCTGGTGGACTCAATTGGACCCCACTGGATTCAAGTTGGCTCCACTAGTTTCCACAGGTCTCCGTTTGACTCCAGTGGACTCACAGGGATCCATTGGGCTCCAATGGACTACGTAGGACCTCCCAGGGCTCTATTGGACTCCGTGCGAATACTCGTACGACTCTATAAAACTCAATCGGACTCTATTGGCCTCCATTGGACTGTACTGGACTCCACAAGACTCCAAAGGATCCACAGGTCTAATGGACTCGATAAACTCCATTGGAGTCCATAGGATCCGATTGGACCCCGGTTGGACTCCATTGTGCTCCATACGGTTCCATTGGGCGCCATGGGGTTCGATTCGAATACCCATACGACTCCATTGGAACCAACGGTCCCCTTTGGACAGAATTGTGCTCCATCGGACTCCATCTGACTCCATTGGAGTTCATTCGATTGCCCACCCGACTTACTCCGTTGAACTCCAGTCGTTTCAATGGGACTCCTAGGATTCCCATTGAACCCATTGGACTTGGTAGGTCTTCATAAGAGTCTACGAGGCTGTTTTGCGAATGCCTTACGGCCGGTGAGGAGGAGGAGGAGGAGGAAGAAGATGAGTATAACGAGGAAGAGGGAGGATGAGGAATGATGAGCAAGGATGAGCGACGAGTAGCCGTGTGAGAGAGGAGCGAAAAGCGAGGAGTGAGGAGTGAGGAGGAGGATGAGGAGGAGCGAGGAGGATGAGGATGAGGAGCGATAGTGACGAGGACGGATAAGACGAGGTGAAACGGGGGGAGAAAGAGGAGGATGAGGACGAAGAGGAGGAAGGAAGGGTAGTAGGAGGGGGAGGGGGGAAGCGGTGAAAGGATCAAAGGGAAGGGGCCTCCCTTCGACTCGATTATGACGTTGCTTGATTTTCTTTTGGCTGGCGCGTTTGAGGAGGAAGGCTCAGGGAGCCATCTGGAGTTCCAGGGAGAGGTGACGCACCCCAAGGACACCTCAATTACGATGTTGCTCGATTTCCTTCTGGCCGGCGCGCTTGAGGAGGAGGCCTCAGGGAACGGACCAAGCAGGACCTTGCAGGTCTGGCCTCTCCAGACTCCGTGCATGCAAGGGGCCCCTTGCATGGCCCGCGGGGTGGCTGCCTAGCCTATGCCATTCTGCCCGCGTGGAAACACCCCAGGGAAACTGCCCCCCGTCCCAAGAAGTTCAAGAGGGGCCCGCGCCGCGGGGGCCCCCAGCGGGGCCCCAGCAGCCCCTGCTCATAGGGCAGTGCCAGGGCCGCGCGAACCCCAGGGCGGCGCGGGACGCAGTGGATGCGCCGTGCGGCGCGCCGCGCGCGACAGCAGACGGGCCCCCGCTCCCCTGCGTCCCTCGCGCCCTCCGAGCGGGCGAGGAGCGCCTTCGCGCTACGGAGGCAGCGTGTGAGGCTCGCCTCCCAGCGCCTGCGCCACGCCGCGCCCTCGGCACAGGCGGCGGGTGTCGCCGCCGATGCCGCCGCCGGCGGCGGGCGCAGCGCGTGCGCCCGCGAGGGCGGCGCTCGCGGCGTCGCGAGAGCCTGCGCGGGCCCGCCCCCCGAGGGGACCCTGGGAGGGGGAGGGGCACCACGAAGGACGAGCCACAGGGACCCCGCGCCAGGGGGGCCTGGCAACAGGGGGCATCCCGAGCTCGCCCCTCCCGAGCCCCACTCCCCCGCAGGGGAGGGACCCCCCGGGGGCCCTGGGCGCGCAAGCCCCCCCGCCACTCTCCGCCAGCTCTGCGGCTGGTCGCCAGCTCCATGATAATCCCGCCGGTGCAGGCGGCGCCGACCGCCCACCAGCTCCGCTGGCGGGGGTTCCCCAACTATCCCGATGTGATCACGGGGCGCCCCGCTTGTGCGGGGGAGAGCCTAAGCGAAAGGGTTGCAGCAGCGACGGCGACGACGACGACTCAATCAGAACAGCGTCTCACGGCAACGGCGACGACTCAAATGGAAGCGCGCCTCACACATGCCGACAGGGTCGGCGGACTTGGCTCCGCTGGACTCCACATGTTTCCGTTGGACACAATTGGGTTCCAGTGGGCTCCACGGGATTTCGTTGAGCTTAATTGCAACGCCCAAGGTATCCACTGTCCATTACCATGTTCAAGGTATCCATTGCCACACCTAAGGAATGCATGGCCATACCCAACGGATTCATCGGTATACCCAGGGGACCCGTTGTCATACACAAGGAATCCTCTCCGAGATCCACGCCACGAATTGCCACTCTCAGAATATCCATTGGTACACCCACGGAATCCATTGTCATGCCCAAGGAGTCCATATGCTTACCCAGGGGGTCCACTCTTCTTGCTTGCTCCGTTCTCGGACCCAAGGGAATCATTGCCACACCCCGAGATATCCAGTGGTGCACCCAAGATCGTGCACGGGGACAATCGAGTGCGCGCGCGCGCGCGTGTGTGTGTGTGTGTGTGTGTGTGTGTGCGCGTGTGTGTGTGTGTGTGTGTGTGTGTGTTGTGTGTGTGTGAGTGTGTGTGTGTGTGTGTGTGTGTGTGTGTGTGTGTGTTGTGTGTGTGTGCGTGTGTGTGTGTGTGTGTCTGTGTGTGTGTGTGTGTGTGTGTGTTTGCGTGTGTGTGTGGGTGTGTGCGTGCGTGGCCCAGGCCAGTTCTACAGTCGGGGTCCTGAAGAAGGAACCCTTTTGGTTGGGGAGGGGCTCCGCGTTCCTTAAGTGTTTCACAGCTTGCCTCAGGTTTCCCTTATGTTTTCGATAGGAAATCGAAGTTTAACTTATGGAAAAAGGGGCCTCGTTCCTTATCTAGGGTTCCTTAGGTCAACGCCCCGACTGTACGAGTTGAGTTCGATCTGTTATGACAATCCCATGTGGAGAACTTCAGAGGTGGCCGACACATGTGGTTTGCGCACGGTTTTCTAGATCGATTAATCGTATGGTCAATCATCCCTATCCGTCGTCGTCGTCAGTGACAGAAGAGCACGCTATTTCGTGGTTGAGCCCGCTGGACGACTGACCAACGCCGTGTTGTGCTTCGATGTGCAGTGTGCCGTGTCTAGTTGTTTGTGGCTGCCAGGTGGTTTGCGGGGCCACGCGCGGTGTCCAGATGTGGGATTTGTTTACCTAGCTTTTCAGAAGTATGACAAGACATGTCCGAAAGGCGCCGTTATATTAGCAGTGCTGGTACTCGGTATTTTTGATCAGCTTGTCGATTCGATTGCTTCATGTGTTGTCGCGAAATTCAAGGTGTGATGATAGGACTCAGTCGCCGTGGTTCTTTGGGATCCTGGTAGCCGTTGCTGTTGGGACCACTGTTATCGGCCTGGTTTTTGCTGACGCAGGGCGCTGGCAAGCAACGATGCCAGACAAAATTAACGAGCACATTCGACTTGCACAGCTGGCGCAAAACGGTGGAACTACGCACAATCCTCGGTTGCACAACGCACAAGCTGTGGCCATGGCTCCACCCGGTGCTCGTACAGTGCCCGCACAATGCTGGCACACGATGCAGGCGCACGATGCCGAAACGGGGCACACAATGCCAGACTGCCAACGCACAGTCAAAGACTCACGCGCAGCTTTGAATAAGGTCCTGGCACTCCGCCAGAGAGCAGCGCGCGCCCGCACTGCCAACAGTTTCAGGGTGCCTGGCGTTCTTGCTCTGGTTTCGTGTTGTCTTTGTTATGGTGCCGCCCGTTCTATCCCAGACATGCGCACCCACTCAGCAGAGGATGCACGGTGACGTCTCTGTGCTTGGCGACCCTGTGCCTGCCCCGAG